GAGGGTGTATGTGTCCAGGAATTTATTCATTTCTCCTAGATTTTCTAGTTTATTTGTGTAGAGGTGCTTATGGTATTCTCTGACAGTAGTTTGTATTTCTGTGGGATCAGTGGTGATCTCTCCTTTATCATTTTTTATTGTGTCTATTTGATTCTTCTCTCCTTTCTTCTTTATTAGTCTGGTTAGTGATCTATCTATTTTGTTGATCTTTTTTAAAAAACAACTCCTGGATTCATTGATTTTTTTGAAGGGCTTTTCTTGTCTCTATCTCCTTCAGTTCTGCTCTGATCTTAGTTATTTCTTGTCTTCTGCTAGCTTTTGAATTTGTTTGCTGTTGCTTCTTTTGTTCTTTTAATTGTGATGTTAGGGTGTTGATTTTAGATCTTTCCTGCTTTCTCCTGTGGGTATTTCATGCTATAAATTTCCCTCTAAACACTGCTTTAGCTGTGTCCCAGAGATTCTGGTACGTTTTCTTTGTTCTCATTGGTTTCAAAGAACTTCTTAATTTCTGCCTTAATTTTGTTATTTACCCAGTAGTCATTCAGGAGCAGGTTGTTCAGTTTCCATGTAGTTGTGCAGTTTTGCGTGAGTTTCTTAATCCTGAATTCTAATTTGATTGCACTGTAGTCTGAGAGACTGTTTGTTATGATTTCCATTCTTTTGCATTTGCTGAGGAGTGTTTTACTTCCAATTATGTGGTCAATTTTAGAATAAGTGTGATGAGGTGCTGAGAAAAATGTATATTCTGTTGATTTGGGGTGGAGAGTTCTGTAGATGTCTATTAGGTCTACTTGGTCCGGAGCTGAGTTCAAGTCCTGAATATCGTTAATTTTCTGTCTCATTGATCTGTCTAATAATGACAGTTGGGTGTTAAAGTCTCCCACTATTATTGTGTGGAAGTCTAAGTCTCTTTGTAGGTCTCTAAGAACTTGTTTTATGAATCTAGGTGCTCCTGTATTGGGTGCATATATATTTAGGATAGTTAGCTGTTCTTGTTGCATCGATCCCTTTACTATTATGCAATGCCCTTCTTTGTCTCTTTTGATCTTTGTTGATTTAAAGTCTGTTTTATCAGACACTAGGATGGCAACCCTTGCTTATTTATTTATTTTTTATGTTTTATTTGAAACGGAGTCTTGCTCTGTCGCCCAGACTGGAGTGCAGTGGCGCGATCTCGGCTCACTGCAAGCTCTGCCTCCTGGGTTCATGCTGTTCTCCTGCCTCAGCCTCTGGAGTAACTGGGACTACAGGGACCTGCCACCATGCCCAGCTAATATTTTTTCTTGTTTATTGTATTTTTAGTAGAGACAGGGTTTCACCATGTTAGCCAGGATGGTCTCAATCTCCTGACCTAGTGATCCGCCAGCCTAGGCCTCCCAAAGCATTGGGATTACCTGTGTGAGCCACCACGCCCGGCCACAACCCCTGCTTTTCTTTGCTTTCCATTTGCTTGATAAATATTCCTCCATCCCTTTTTTTTTGAGCCTATGTGTGTCTTTGCATGTAAGATGGGTCTCCTGAATACAGCACACTGATGGGTCTTGATTCTTTATCTAATTTGCCAGTTGGTGTCTTTTAATTGGGGCATTTAGCCTATTTACATTTAAAGTTAATATTGCTACGTGTGAATCTGATCCTGTCATTGTGATGCTGACTGGTTATTTTGCCCAGTAGTTGAATCACTTTCTTCATAGTATCGATGGTCTTTAGAATTTGCTATGTTTTTTGCAGTGGCTGGTACCGGTTGTTCCTTTGCACGTTTTGTGTTTCCTTCAGGAGCTCTTGTAAGACAGGCCCGTTGGTGACAAAATCTCTCAGCATTTGCTTGTCTGTAAAGGATTTTATTTCTCCTTCGCTTATGAAGCTTAGTTTGGCTGAATAGGAAATTTTGGTTTGAAAATTCTTTACTTTAAGAATGTTGAATATTGGCCCCCACTCTCTTCTGGCTTGTAGGGTTTCTGCCGTGAGATCCGCTCTTAGTCTGATGGGCTTCCCTTTGTAGGTAACGCGACCTTTCTCTCTGACTGCCCTTAACATTTTTTCCTTCATTTCAACCTTGGTAAATCTAACGATTATGTATCTTGGGGTTGCTCTTCTTGAGGAGTATCTTTGTGGTGTTCTCTGTATTTCCTGAATTTGAATGTTGGCCTGTCTTGCTAGGTTGGGTAAGTTCTCCTCGATAGTATCCTGAAGAGTGTTTTCCAACCTGGTTCCATTCTCCCCTTCACTATCAGGTAAACCAGTCAAATGTAGGTTTAGTCTTTTCACATAGTCCCATATTTCTTGGAGGCTTTGTTCATTGCTTTTCATTCTTTTTTCTCTAATCTTGTCTTGACACTTTATTTCATTAAGTTGATCTTCAATCTCTCATATCCCTTCTTCCACTTGATTGATTTGGCTATTGATACTTGTGTCTGCTTCATGAAGTTCTTGTGCTGTGTTTTTCAGCTCCACCAGGTCATTTATGTTCTTTTCTAAACTGGTTATTCTAGTGAGCAATTCCTCTAACATTTTTTCAAGGTTCTAGCTTCCTTACATTGGGTTAGAACATACACCTTTAGCTTGGAGAAGTTTGAAACCTACTTCTGGAAATTTGTCAAACTCATTCTCTGTTCAGTTTTGTTCCCTTGCTGATGAGGAGTTGTGATCCTTTGGAGGAGAAGAGGTGTTCTGTTTTTTGGAATTTTCAGTCTTTTTGCACTGGTTTTTCCTCATCTTCATGGATTTATCTAACTTTGGTCTTTGCTGTTGTTGATCTTCGGTTGGGGTTTTGGTGTTGATGTCCTTTTTGCTGATGTTGATGCTATCCCTTTCTGTTTGTTAGTTTTCCTTCTAACAGTCAGGTCCCTCTGCTGCAGGTCTGCTGGAGTTTGCTCGAGGTCCACTCCAGACCCTGTTTACCAGGGTATCACCAGGGGGAGGCTGCAGAACAGCAAAGATTGCTGCCTGTTCCTTCCTCTGGTAGCTTCATCCCAGAGCGGCACCCTCCACATGCCAGCTGGAGCTCTCCTGTATGAGGTGTCTGTTGACCCCTTCTGGGAGATGTCTCCCAGTCAGGAGGCATGGGGGTCAGGGACCAACTTGAAGAGGCAGTCTGTCCTTTAGCAGAGCTCAAGTGCTGTGCTGGGAGATCTGCTGCTCTCTTCAGAGCCGGCAGGCAGGGATATTTAAGTCTGCTGAAGCTGTACCCACCGCTGCCCCTTCCCCTAGATGCTCTGTCCCATGGAGATGGTAGTTTTATCTATAAGCCCCTGACTGGGGCTACTGCCTTTCTTTCAGAGTTGCCCTGCCCGGAGAGGAGAAATCTGGAGGCAGTCTGGCTACAGCGGCTTTGCCAAGCTACAGTGGACTCCACCCAGTTCAAACTTCTCAGCTGCTTTGTTTACACTATGAGGGGAAACCTGCTTACTCAAGCCTCAGTAATGGCGGACACCCCTCCCCCCACCAAGCTCGAGCACCCCAGGTCAACCTCAGACTGCTGTCCTGGCAGTGAGAATTACAAGCCAGTGGATCTTAGCTTGCTGGGCTCCATGGGGGCGGGATTTGCTGATCTAGACCACTTGGCTCCCTGGCTTCAGCCTTCTTTCCAGGGGAGTGAACATTCTGTCTCGCTGGCATTCCAGGTGCCACTGGGGTATGAAAAAAAAACTCTTGGAGCTAGCTTGGTGTCTGCCCAAACGGCTGCCCAGTTTTGTGCTTGAAACCCAGGGCCCTGGTGGTGAAGGCACCCGAGGGAATCTTCTGGTCTGCTAGTTGTGAAGGACATGGGAAAAGCATAGTATCTGAGCCAGAGTGCACCATTCCTCCCGGTACAGTCCCTCATGGCTTCCCTTGGCAAGGGGAGGGAGTTCCCTCACCCCTTGTGTTTCCTGGGTGAGGCGACACCCCACGCTGCTTTGGCTTGCCCTCCATGTGCTGCACCTACTGTCTAACCAGTCCCAATATCAGCTGGGTACCTCAGCTGGAAATGCAGAAATAACTTGCCTTCTGTGTTGATATCTCAATGCAAAAATAACTTGCCTTCTGCGTTGATCTCTCTGGGAGCTGCAGACTGGAGCTGTTCCTATTTGGCCATCTTGCCAGCCATCCGTGTGTTTTCAAATTAACTTTGAATTAGTTTTTGTAGAATTAGCAGTTTTCCCTTTATTTACCTGTTCTAGGACCATTGCAAGACAACCTATTAAAGAAATAAACTAAGCATTAAAAAAGACAGATTAGATAATAGTTATATGTTTTTTATTTGTGACATTTGAATATCCAAGCTCACATATAACTGATTTCCTAAATATCCTTTAGTTTTATGTTGCTTTTCTAATTGATTTGTTAGTTTTCCTTATAGTCAAATGCTTAATACAATCATAAATGGAACTAAAAATATAGTCAACATTTCTTTTTCTGATGTATGTAAAAAAGATACAGCAAAACTCTGAAATCAGATCACTGTAAGCTAGTAAAACAGGTGAATTATTTGATTAGAAATGGACTCTTCCTTCATAAGTTACGCAAATCTTTATGTAGTCATTGAAAATTCTTACTCAGAATTAATACCTGCCAAGAGGGAAATAGCCTATTACAAAAGCTTTTTGTTAATGTATTTTTTTTAAGGCAGGAAAACAATCATTATTTCCAAACCCACTTTGTTTGTCTAATTCTAGGAGAGAATCAACAATTTCTTCAAGGTCCAAAATGATAACAACAAGAATGACAACAGTGTTAACCAAATGATACCTCCAACTCCTTTTAGTGATTGTGCCTAGGTACACATTTCCTCAAAGATAATGGCCATACTTTTCCTACAATGCTTTTGTTTTTGTTTTCTCACAGTGCGATACTCATGGAGTATGGAAGGGACATAAGGTTTAGAGACCATAGGAAGCAATTTGCTTCCATCAATAACCAGAATGATGGATTGACATAAATCAGCACAAAAAGATAAGAGTAATTCTATTCAGGTCCCTTAATGTTTTGCCAATTAAAGGGGTAGTTTAAAAAAAAAAAAAGAAACAACAACAGTGTAATCTTTAGCAGGGACGTTAAAGGGAAGAAGTCAGGAAGATAAACCAAAATGATTGAATATGATAAAGAATTTTGCGTGGCGATTAAAATAGAAAACCTATAAATGTAGAAAAAGCAGGTCTGGACTTAGCAAAGAGACAATATAGTTTGGAGAAGGCATGAAATAAGTTCTCTTCACGTTCACTGCTGGTCACATCCATAACAGAGAGTGATATGGAGAGCTTTGGGAAGGTTTCACGTTGAGTTACATCAATGGTCAACAATGGTGCAACAAGACTCCGTAGAGGATGCCACCCTAGGAGAACTGCAAGGGAAAGGAGGCCGAAGCACAACTGGTAATAGCCTTCAGATATTTAATGGATACACAAGTAAAGCTCTGATTAATTATATTTTCACTTATCTTATTATATATAATCTTTGGACCTTTCTAAAAGTGGGATACTAGAAAAGATCTACTGAAACTCAAAGAGAATACTTCAGCTCGAGTTGAATGGAACTCAAGATGTTGTGGAGGGTTCAGTGGGTTGGTTATACCAAAGAATGCTGTAGAATTTCCATGCCTGAAGATCTGTAAGAGTATAATTTTTTTCACCAGGGAAGTTACTGGTATGGTTTGAGAGATAGAAGGAATTGATTAAGATATCTCTCAAAGTTTCTTCCACTTAACCTGGCTCTGAGACTCTGGGTCTTTGGAAATGAGAAAATACCCAGGGAAGAGAAAAACGAACAATTTAAGAAACAGGAAATGACTCTAGATCAGTATTTCTCAATGATAGCCATTTAAGACATTTTCTTCCTAATCATCTCTCCCTTGCACCATCACCATGAAAGTTTAATACCACGTAAATACTTTGTATCTGTTTATGTACTTGTGGTCCTTTGGAGGGTCACAACCCACCGTACTATCTAAGGGTTTTCCCAAAAAAACCAACTGACAATTAGGGAGTGTGTGCTCTCTATAAATAAACTATGGGCCCAAATGGAGGTCATTGAAGATGGGAGAAAAAATAAAAGCGTTGAATATTTCACCTCTGGCTACAGGGAACATACAAATCCTCACTTGCCCACGCACTCACATATTGCCTGCACATGAAAACTTCCTTCTTCCCCTCCCTCCTGTTATATGGAAAGGAATGAATGCTTTGCTACTGCTATATCATCTGACTGCAATGACTATAATATTTTGGGGATCCTGGACCTCCTTGAGAACATTAAGAAATGAATGTATATATGCACAGCCCTCATACTCTATAAATGTACGTGTCCTGAATTTCAGAGCTTAATAATGAATTATGGAACTTGATAATGATTGGATCAGGCAGACAACACCTGATCAGTCCTAATATCAGAAAAGAGACAAATAGACACTATGTGCTTCCTGAGCTGGGGCAGTAGGAAGGAAACAACATTACACATGTAGTTGTCTTGGAAAAAAACATGTAACCTGTATCTTGTAATGAGGAAACAATCAGTAAAAAAGTCTAGATTGTGGGACATTCTACCAACTTGCCTGAACTCTTTAATAATGTCAGTGTCATGAAAGACACACCACACACACACACACACACACACACACACACACTGCACATCATACACAAACACCATCCCACCACCCACTACTCAGACACACACAAAAGGGCAACTCTAATCGATTAAAGGAAACAAAACAGAATGACAACTACATGTGACGTATAATTCTTGATTGAACCCTGGATTTTAAAATAAACAGCTATAAAGGATATTTTGGGGACAACTGGAGAATTTTGAATATGGATCATATATTAGATTTATACAGTATCAGTGTTCAGTTTCATGGGTGTGAAAATGTTGCAGATTTATAGGACAATGCTCTTATTAAAAGGAAGAATATGATGAAGTATTTTACATTTTCATGATGTCTGCAACTTATTTTCAGAAGGTTCAAGAATAAGAATGTGTATTTACAGTGAGAAAGAAAATGTGAGGCAGGTGCGGTGGTACATGCCATAATCCTGGCTACTCAGGAGGCTAAGGTGGAAGACCACTTGAGGCAAGGGGTTCAAGGCTGGCTTGGGTAAAACAGGGAGAGACCCCTTCTCTTAAAAAAAAAAAAAAGGAAGAAAAGAAAACAAGGCAAAATGTTAACAACTAATACACTAAAGGATGTAAGGGTACTCACTATTATCTTTCAACTTTGAAACTTTCACTTAAGAATTTCCCAAAATTAAAATGAAAGTAGAAAAAGAAGGAGAGTAGGACAGGTTAGGAAGACGAAGGAGGGTTGTCAGTCTCTGACCCAGAGGGCTGAAGCTCCATTTTTATAACGGAGATGAACAGTTAGATGCAGTCAAGCCAAGGAGATAAAAATTGACTGCAGAGATTTTCTTCAGAATGTGCCAAAGTCCTGTGGGAACAGGAACATTCTGTAATTAAAAAAAAAAAAAAAAAAGAGTGGTTTGCCAGAATTTACCCTAGAAGAGTTCATTAGTGCAATTAACAATATAAGCAGGAGGAAATTGTTCCAAGAAGCTTAAAAACACTTGGATTTTTAAATTGAGTGGAAATTTCATATGCACAGTTAATAAAAAATAACCTTAAAAAGAATGAATAACAAAGTCTCCAGATTCCAGCCTCCTGCTTGATTATGCATTGCTGAAATGCAGGAACATATTCAACTTTTTAATGCAAAAATCCTGTGGCGTTCCATGGTGCACAGCTACAGAGTTCCTCCGGGGCATCGGTTTTGTAGTCACCTCTCTGTCCCACTGTGCTGCATTCCCATCTGGTAACTGCGTATTGCAGACGCTGGGACTTAGGGGCTCTTATTTCTGTTCTCTGGATCTCTATGATGGTCAGATATTCTTTGGGCCAAAACTGATGTAAGGAAAAAACTTTGCCTATCTTGTACTCTCAAAGTTACTCTGAAAGGAGGAAAAAAGTATGTTAATTGTTGACCAGCGCACAGCAACATGGTGAGGTAGCAGCAATTGGATTCCATGAGATGACCTTTATGAGACACAAAGCAAGGTTCAGGCTGCTTGGTTAACAGAGAATGCCTGTGGTACCCACAGAGACAGCCCTTTCTTAGCTTGGACAAAGATTTCATGATTCTAGGCTTTTGTGGCAGCCACAGATGGCTTTAACACATTATGTATAATGAAACAAAATCAGAGTCATTTAGTTATTCTTTAATCATTATTACATTAAAATACACTAATACATTCTTATCTACTTCCCTCCACCAACAAATATTTTGCTAAATTAAAAGGATCACTGGAAGTATTATGACCCCCTCGTCACAGGCAGTCAGAACCACCACAGTTTTGTGAATGAATCAGAGAAGGCAACATTTCATCAACGAAAACTCATTTAAGTTTCAAAAGGCAGGATGTAGTACAGAATGCATTATTCTGACTGTCTTCTGGAATAGAAAAATTGGAAAGGATGAAAGAAGGAAGTTAGCTCCAGCTCCACCATTACCTTGGCAACCATGGCACAATCACAGGGGCAGACATTAATTTTGTGCTGTAACATAACATGGCAGAGGAACGGGAATTGTGGAGTGGGGAGAGAATGACGGCTGGGTTTAAATGCTCAGAAGGCCAGTGGGGAGGGTTACAAGTCAGTCGTCTGGATGTTAAATCTACACGTACCAAATAACCAATTTTACTTTTATTTTTTCACTGAAATGTTAGTATTATGTAGAGACAGCCACGACTCCCTGCTCTTTAATAAAGAACAAACACTGCAGTAATCATGCCCAAGGCTCCCGCTGATCATTCTTCGTCATTTAGGACTTTTATTATTTCTCTCTTCTGAGAAACAGGAAAGAATATCTTCAACTGAAGAGACAAAGAATGACGGTGGTTATAAAAAATACATTCTGATCAGGTGAACTGGTAACTTGTCAGCTTGACGCTAGTAACCAGTCTCTTCCCTGCAGTTAGAATGTGAAGACCCTGTTTTGGGGCAGAGACAAGCCACCCCATGGAGCGTCCCTGATAAAACTACTTATTAGGGAAATACTATGGATGCCTCGGCAGGGACAGTAGGGGGGTGCTGGGGATGGGGGGTTCAGGTCTCTCAGAGCTCCACAGCCCTGCACAGTGTTAAACCACAGACCAGAGCAGGAGCTTTTAGAGACCTGAAAGGAAGGTTTATTGCATAAAAACTTGCTGCACATCCAGAGGTCCAAAATTCACCCGGCACTTAGAAAACCAATCACAGAGAAGTCGGCCAGCTGACAAGACAGATAAGTGGAAAAATACAAACAAGCATCTCAGTCTCAAAACCTGAATTCCAGTAAAGCTTAGGCGGCAGGTCACAGGCAGAACTGTGCCATGTGTGGAAGTGCAGAGGCTTCCTCGTGGACAATTCCCCAGCCAGAACAATCAAGGGGCTGGTCCTTCTTTCACGTTGCGGTCTGCTTGGTCCACAGGTCTGGGCTAGCGGCACTCAGAAGGTTAAGAGCACACAAAGTGAGTGGGGACTGTCTCTCAGGAGTCACTGCTTGCCTCCACTTCTGCTGCTCCTGGGAATAGGTGTGTCATCTAAGCCAGGGTGGTCCACCTCCTGCCCGCTCAGGGCTCCAGGAGGAAACAGCTTTCCTTTCTTCCAAAGGGTGAGGTGAAGCATTAGTGACACATCCTGCTCGTCATCTCTTTCTGGAAAGCAAGGGGAAAAGGATGGTTAGGAGAAACTAAAAGCAGAGCAATGATTTGATGAAGGATCCTGAAAATGCTCTTGGAACCTCGAGAGCCTGTAAATGAAAGGTTGCAAGCACGGTCCATGAATAAGGCTTAGCATGAGGATATGTTCTGTTTGGTCTGCAGAATTTTTTTTTTTTTCCATTAAGGCACTGTTTAAAAATTTGACTCTTGTATCAAAATTCAGGTTGCTTGCTTTTTCTGAGAACAAGATTTTGGAGCTTCTGAACAACTGGAGTTGAAGAATGGTTGTCCTCTTCAGCAGGAGAATTTGCTTTCCAGTTTGCCCCAGTCCCCGCCAGTCCCACCTGACTTCCCGACAGGAGCCATGGAGCACTTATGAACTGATACAGTAATTGGATTGGGACTGCTAGTTTTCTTCGAGTAGGGAAAGATTTCTTTTAAGTTTCAATCAAAGATGGAAAAATAAAGGATACGTGGGTATAAGTCAGGAAAAGCAGGAAGGAGGACTTTTTTTTTTTTTTTTGAGACGGAGTCTCCCTCTGTCGCCCAGGCTGGAGTGCAGTGGCGCGATCTCAGCTCACTGCAAGCTCAGCCTCCTGGGTTCACGCCTCAGCCTGGGTTCTCCTGCCTCAGCCTCCCAAGTAGCTGGGACTACAGGCGCCCGCCACCAGGCCCGGCTAATTTTTTGTATTTTTAGTAGAGACGGGGTTTCACCATGCTAGCAAGGATGGTCTCGATCTCCTGACCTCGTGATCTGCCCGTCTCAGCCTCCCAAAGTGCTGGGATTACAGGCTTGAGCCACCGTGCCCGGCCGACATTTTTTTTTTTAAATAGAAATGAATAATACACCAAAGTGTCTGACATGCATCACCTGCCTGGCTCTTGTGGGTATTTATAGATCCCGAATGAGCCATCCTTTCTCTTCCCCTGGGGCTCTGCACAGGTTGAGTCTCACGCCTATGGTCTGCTGCTACCACATCCTGCGCCTGCCCCTCTTCATTTGTCAAATTGCCATTCATTTTTCCACCTCAGGTAAGGTGACTTCTATCTGCTGGGAGTCCTTCTTGCACTCCTGCCCCACTCGCTGTGGAGGCAGCCACTCTCTCCTCCTGTGCACACGTTGATTCTTACATGCAGTGTATGAATTTGTACATCTGTGTGTGTGTGTGTGCTGGGGCTCTGGGCATGTCTGTTGGCCCTGCTAGACTGAGAGCTACTAAGTGCCAGGAAAAAGCAGCACTCGTTGACTCACCCCATGTGCTTTCATCTTTGTATCCCCCGCCCCTGGCACTGTGCCAGGGTAGTGGCTCCTCTTTCATCTCTGAGGATGGTCTGAGGAGCAGGCTAGTAATAAGCCCTGTGCCATTTAGCATCTTGAGAAGACAAGTTTAATGTCATTTTAATTAGACGAATGATCTCCTTCCAAGTTCCACCTGCTGCAGAGCTGACTGCAGCTGCTACATCTCTTGCATACTGACCTGGACTGCCATACCTGATATAATAGGAAACATTGAGAAAAAGGAGCCTGAGCGTGGGAGTGCCCAGGTGTTCAGAGAAGCTTCCTATTCGAAAACCATACAGATGTGCTGGTTAAAGAAATAACAATAGACAAGGTAGAATCTAGACACTTTTGCATCTCTGTAATTATTAAATACAGGCAGTTATATATATATGTGTATATATAATTTTAACAACTTTTTCAATTTTTTATTTTTTTGATAGGGTCTTGCTGTTGCCCAGGCTGGAGTGCAGTGGCAACAGCTCACTGCAGCCTCAACCACTCGGGCTCAAGCTATACACTCACCTCAGACTCCTGAGTAGCTGGGACTACAGGCACACGCCACCACGCCTGGCTAGTTTTTAAATTTGTTGTATAGACAGGATTTCATCATGTTGCCCTGCTTGGTCTCAGACTCCCGAGCTCAAGCCATCCACCCATCTTGGCCTCCCAAAGTGCTAGGATTACAGGCGTGAACCACTGCACCTGGCTTTTGACTTAATTTTGATGACAGAGATGAGGAAAACAAGACGGAAATGCAACAAGTGCATGCGTGTGTATGTTTGAGAGAGAGAGATAAGAGAGGGACAGAAAGAGAAGGAGGGAGAAAGTGTGTTCATGGAATAAACAGAATTTTAGCTTTATTAACTTAATTATTTGTAATAGGTCAGTACTTTTGGAGAGAAAGAAGCTAGCAAATGTTAAGTACCTATAAAATGCCAGGTCCTTTGGGGTGGTTATACCATTGTGTCTGTGTAACTCTAAGACAGGGAACTATGACCTCCACTGGACAGAGGAAGAATCCCAGTTTCAGAGCCAAAGCTATTTGCTCAAGGTAAATGGGTAAGGTACAGAATGCTCAGCAGTAACTGCTGCTTTTATTAAACAGAGGCTTGCTGTTTGCCAGTTCCAGTGTCTACTGCTCTACAGACATTATACTTTGTGAAGTAAGATTTGCCATCTCTACTGTACTGATGAGGAAAACCCTCAGGAAAGGAGGGTACCTTACCAGGTCACACAGGAAGTTGCAGGCCTAGGGTTTAAACTCAGGTCTATCTGACTGCAAAGGCTGGCTCTTTCTACTACACCATGTGATTATAGGTAAAAGCCTCTAAGATATTCTTATGAATATGCAATCGGATAATACTGACATATATTAACTGACATATATAATTATAGGTGGTTGCAGTCGTTCATGAATTTTCAAAATGCCACAGATTTTTTTCTTTATCCAGACTGACGCCAGTTAGAATTATAGGCACAATGGGCAAATACGAGAACAATTATGCCACTGAGAGACTATGGACACTAGAAATATGGAAGAGTCTTTTTTTTTTTTTTTTTTTTTTTTTTAAGCAGCAGAGTAACAGTTTCAGAGAGGACAGGGGACTTATTCAAAGTCACTGGGATGCAGGATAAAAACTGTTTCCTGGGATGCCTCTTAAACTCATAAAGGGAATGTATGGTTGAAATAGCAGATCAGAAACTTCAGGAAAGACATTTGAGTTGGATCCATCCTTCAAAGCTCTACAAGACTCTGCAAGCTGTATTCTAGCACTTGCCCACTTGGTGGAGCCAATGAGCTGTTTAAAAAAAAAAAAAACCAACTCGTTTAAATAAACAAATAGCCAATGCTAGGTTCCATCGCTTTCTTCATGGGAGCCCTGCCGCAGGCATCTAGCAGGGACAAACGAATTCTTCCCCTCTAGAGTGTGGCCAAAGTAACCTCTACCCAAGGTGCTCTTTACAATGAATTTGCCATTGCTGGAGTTACCGAATGCCCTACGTATTAAGGCAGGCCACTAAAGAACTCCAAAACGTGTATTAAAAGGCTTCCGCAGAGGTGATGAGAATCTCCTGAGAAAGTTCCTGGAGACTGTGCTTGGCTTGTATATGAAGATTTTTTTAAACACCTGAATTTTTCAAAATGTGTTCTTAACAGAAGAGTAAAGTAGAATCTCGGTTGTGGTCACTCAGTTTCATTTGTTTTAAAATAAAGCAGTAATTGATTCTATGAAGTCCCTCGTTCTCCACTGTCAACAAAACAAATTTCATCCTCTGAAGCCTGTCAAAGAAAGAGGACCCACCACCCACTGCTCACCTCCTGCTGAATTCCCTCCCACACACCGCATCAGCCAGGCAAAGCAGACTTCCCAGGTCTCCAACTGGCCAGTTTCTAGTGGTTTCTTATATCTGGTAAATGTTTTCTGCCCTTCTCTCCCTGGCAAAATTTGACATCCTTTAAGATGCAATTTTCAGCTCCTTTCTTGGGTATCTCCATCACTTTGCACACATTTGCATTACATCACATTGGAATTCGTCATTTCAGTTTTGCCTGAATCTGAGAAGAACCATAAAGTTTTTTAGTATATTAATGTATGATGAATATTTTATTTAAATTGCATAACAGGATGTATGGTTTGGTCCAGTTATTTTGAGAAAAAATATAAACAAAAATATGGGTCCAATATGATAAATTTATCTTTGGGTGAATACAATTGTGTATGTTTTCTATTTCTAATTTTTTTGTCCTTTGCATAGTCTGAATTTTTAGATATTTTTGATATGCATGAATTTTTTTCCAAGAAAACAAGACCGGTTATTTAAAAAACAAAAAGGAAAGTAGACAGAGACTCCAAACTGAAATCATATTTCACTTTAGAAATGAAGTTAAAATGGCATTTGCCTAGTTTTTGTGGGGATGGTGGAGGTGGATGAAATCAGCCTGTTTTTTACATAAGATACTCAATTTTTTCTGTTCTGATGTAAACATTTTTAAAATTTAAATCTTCTTCATGCACTTGTTAGCAATTGGAAGAAGTTTTTGATAGCCATTGAACAAACTTCCGTGAACTCTGAGAGTCAAATCTTACTCTGATCTCAGTGTACCCATTTTTATAAGCGGTAGTTAGTGGAGGGGTAGGTAATAATGATTCAGAGAAGTAAAATGACTTATTCCAAGTCACACAAATACTCTCTGACTTAGGCAAGACTACAACGAAATCAGTGCTCTCAGTTTACTGTACTATATCATCACACATTTTAGTAATCTAATTTTCTTTTATTTTGTTGAGACAGAGTCTCACTCTGTCGCCCAGGCTGGAGTGCAGTGGCGCCATCTCAGCTCACTGCAAGCTCTGCCTCCTGGGTTCAAGCAATTCTCCTGCCTCAGCCTCCAAAGTAGCAGGGACTACAGGTGCCCGCCACTATGCCCGGCTAATTTTTTGTATTTTTAGTAGAGACGGGATTTCACTGTGTTAGCCAGGATGGTCTCAATCTCCTGACCTCATGATGAGCCTGCCTCAGCCTCCCAAAGTGCTGGGATTACAGGCGTGAGCCACCGCGCCTGGCCCAAGAAGCTAATTTTCATGTGGAACATATAAAGAACACCACTTGATGTTTACTAGGGGTCAGTCATCATGCTTGCACAGCAATTTTAATAAGTTAACTCTAGGTATTATGAAACAAGCGCCAAAAAGCAATGACATCATCACAG